TTATTACAATGCCATAAACTTCTTTGTAAGTTTGCCATACATATTTTCCGGCCTGCAGTGAAAGCACATAATTTTAGATACTCTGACTAAAAGTCAAGGTCGGTTGTAAAAGCAGAATGCAAAAGCAATAATAATAAAAAAAAAATCAGCAGTGGAAGGCTGGCAACATACTTTCCCGTTCGCAATCTGCCGGCGACCAAGCATTGGGTTGTACGGATATTTCTCAACTGACATTCTGCAACGAGAAGATGAAATATGAATTACTGTCATAAGACATAAAGTAAGATTAAAGAAGGAAGAAAAAAAATCGTCCCTTTTGTATGATAACAAATACGAACTGTGTTAATTAGTTAACACGTTCAATCATACATGAACAAAATGCAAGTTATAAAGCAGAAAATTTTGATCTCCACATCACATGAACAGTGAGCTCCAAAATCGGAACAATTACTACAATCAAACATATAAATCTTAGTTCTACAATTTTACACCGAGTTGAATGAAATCCACCGATCATTGAGCTAAAAGAATGGAAATCTCAACACCTTGATCTATATGTGTATTTAAAATCCAAAATTTTCAAGCATTAGTCATTTCGATAATACAACCAAATCTTACGATCCGTAAAATCAATATTTTCGTTACTTTCACAGCAACCAACAAAGAAGAGAGAGAAAGCTAAAAATCTAACCGGAAAATATCCCAACAACAGTCCATTCCAGGAACCGTAGCAGGGAATCCATTCTCAGCAAAACGACTTCGATAAACAGGGCCGATCGACGGTTTTCCATCGGTGGTGGCCTTCCCTTCTTCTACCTGTATTATATACTCTGTTGAGCCATTTGATCAAAATGGTTCGAATCAGAAACCTCGTAACTTTTTTCTTCCTTATATATTCTCTCTTCACTTGTTTAGATTATATATAAAGATCAAGAAGTTTTGTAAAGATATATATATAAAGCCTAAGAAATTAGGACTCTGTTGCTTTGAGTGATCGGCAAGCCCAGACACGACGGTTAGTTACTTTTTGGATGATAGAATCCAGTTCTGTTTGTTTTATATGACTTTAATCATATACAGAACCTTAATAAAAGCAATTTATTATTTAATATAAATTTAAAGGTAAACTACGTATTTAGCCATTCAATTATTATTTTCATTCCATTTTATTATCCATTTATTTATTTTCTCAAAATCATACCCATTATTTATTAATAAGTAGGGTAAATTGATAGAATCATTTAATGTAATTAGATAAATAAACAATAATTCCAAAAACCAATTATTTTAACTAATGATATGATTGATTTAATGATTTTACAGTTATATTTCAGATAAAATTGAGATTCAGCACTTTATAATAGATGGATTAGCATTATCCGGGAATGAATTTTTAAACATTATTTGTTTGCATATAATGCACGGGTTAATTGCATGTATAATTAAATTTTAACTTAATAATTAAAATAAAAAATAAATTTATTTAGTTTTAGTGACAAATTAATTGACACACATTTGTCGTAAATAATAATAATAAAATGTAATCAATTTAAGTACATTTTAATTACACGAAGATGATTTATTTGTTCTTAAAGAATTATTAATTATCATTAAAGAAAAATCGGCTCACCTAACATTCCACCAGAACAAAGTCATTACTTTGATTAATTAGGCATCTCACTTTTAGAAACAACACAAGTTTAATGAAGGGAAAACCACCATTATGGCATCCGTTTGCTTGCAGATCACGGCACTTTCAGAACCATGGTTGTATGCCTACCTGCATCAACAACAGCCTTCAACGTATTCCTCAAAGCTTATGTTCGAGAATCCTAAAAGTATCCGTGTCTGACACTTGTTTTCAAATATATTTGAATATTGAATACAAGGATATGGTTTTCCAGGTATACAAGAGAACTTGGGAAAAAAATGAAACGTATCCATGTTAGACACATACCTATATCCGACACACCCTAAGTCCAACTAACATAGGTTAATAAAGAAATCACCTCTTCTTCTTCTTCCTTCCTTTTACTTGTTTCTCTAGTTGTCTAATCCGCTGACTGATAGTCGAAGAAGAAGATATGCTTCGGTTCGATACTTTTGTCGGTGCAGTAGATACAGAGGCAGATCCTTCTGCTGCTTTTCTAGCTTGTTGGAGTGTTTGTTTGAGAGCTGAATACAGACCAATAGGAGGTCGTTGTGCAGTAGCTGCTGGTTGATTAGGTATTTCAGGAATGCCTAAAGCCTTCTTCACACCAGCAGCCTTGAGCACTGCAAAAATAAATTTTCGAGGTAAGCGATATATAGACATAGTCAGAAATCGAATAAAGAAACACGTCTCGTACTACAGGAAACTTAAGTACTCACCTAGGTCGTAGGAGAGGGAAACAAATTTGATGTAATCCAATAACAAAATATCGCCTGTAGAATAAATTGAGGTGAAAATACCATCAGCATACAAAACACACAAATGGCACTAATAACAGATACTATGGCGGAAAGAGTGCACCACAGCACCAGCTTGTTAAGGGAAACCATTGTATAAAGCCGAAACAATCTATTCGAGTAAAAAAATCTTAATATTATTTTGACAATACCTTTGGGAAACTCATGGTAAATGGAACTGTCAAAAGAGCAAGCACCCTGGACACATTTTTCATAGTTGCAGCAGAAGAATTCCCTTCCATACCTTCTTGCATGTTACACTGCAGACATTAATTAAAACAGAATAACAATTCAGAAAGGTACAGTGTAATGCGGTTCTGTAATAAAATATCATCGAGAAAAAAGTACACTTGCCTCCACGGTTATAAAAAACGTCAGTGCTGTCAAAACTGGAAAGCTGTACAAACTATCTGGAGTAGTGAGATCTGTAAACCAATATGCTCCACCGCTTTGAATGATGGCATTTTCTCAGCCATAGTTGTAATCTGGGGTAAGAGAGAAGTCACCGATACTAAATCTACATGAACTACATTCGATTCTAAGACAAAACCAATAATACTACAAAAAGTATTTGCCTTACGGCTATGTAAAAGCTGACAAAGATGGGCCCCTGAATAAAGAGCCCTTTCAGTGGAGTAAAGGGTGTCACGCCATATCTGCAAACAAGGCATTGTCTGGTAAAACCAGCCGAATAAACATTTAAGTGAACCAACCAGTATATCGAATACATTCCTGATCAACCGGAATTTAGATACATACCAACCTAATGAACCCATGTCTAATATACATTTGCTTCTGAACTTATATGTATGGATTAAAATCATTTAGAATCCTCCAAAACAGAATTGAAGATATATTCGAACGTTAAGAAGCTAACATGTATTCGAAGTACGATAGAGACATAGACTAGGTCCGCAAACAACAGCTTGTAGTCAACAGAGATTAAGTGGTTCAAATAGGAACACAATCACAGTAGAAGCTGGCACCAAACCTTGCTTGCCATCTGCTCCCTGATTTCCTCCAAGCGTGGCCTCATTAGCTGCAGGATAAACACAAATTAAAATAGATTACTTTTTTGTTAATCAAGCAATGTGAAAAAGAGAGCAGTCTCTAAGTTGCAAACTGAAGTCATTTACGAGGAGAAGGAATATCAAAAGAAATATGTCCATAAGTTCCTCTTCTTTTTCCATGTCTAAGTCTTAGTTGAGAACTAGTTAAGATAACAGTTGACTTTACGCTAGGCACACTTGAGACCTTTTTGGTTTTAACAAAAATGTACAAAACAAGCAAAGCAGAGTCATACTAAGTTATGGAACTAGGAATATAAGAAGACGACTCTCAGTTCTTTCTTTTCCATTTTGCACTATTAGTAAGGTCAAAGTAAAGATTCCACACCACCCAAATTTCTGTAATATAATTACAAGACCAGGATATAATTAACATAATCAAATTTTCCGGTATTTACATTTTACCGACTTGCAGCTTCTTATAATCATCAAAATGATTATGTACTTTAATTCATAAAAGTCATAAGTAAAACATAAAAATAATGTCCTGCATATAGACTTAGCCACTTAGGTGCTACAAAAAAATAGGCGATGTCACACTACGAGTAAAAAGAACACGAGGATGGAAAATTAAACAAAGAGTAAAATTACACACTGTCATCTTAGTACTAGCTTTAAGTTGATTAATCAAAAGCGGAAGAGTTGCTCCACGAATCAAAAGTGTTGTCACCGCTATGGCAGCCCACCTGAAATAAATGATAAAGCACCGAGTCACAATATACCATATTGCATAAGATACACAGTGCCGATTCACATCAGGGTTTATTTGTCATCATTTGCAATTTAGGGGAAAAAAAGGATTCAACCATATATAATATATAATAACCAACTGATTTGATGACAAATTTAAATCTAATAAGTTATAAGCATATGAGTTTTAAACAACGTTGCATGGACCTCAATCTTGTTACTTGCAGCCTGATAGTATACTGTGCGTCTCTTTCGAGAATTCAATTATAGCTTAGATTGATTGATGCATCTGTCTGTAAGCCAATTGATCGAGTCATCATAATTTAGGGAATGATACTTCAACAAATTGGGTTTTCTATGCAATACTCTTTGCCAAAACCATTACCAATGAACACAAAATGCATTCTTGGCATGTTTGCAGGACTTGGAAAATATAAAGCAAGTAAAAGCGGAAACTTACCAGTTCAAGCCGGTAAAAGAATGAACCGCATCAATAACATGCTGCAAGGTAGCAACAGGTAACCAACAGTCAGCAGCAGCAACGGCAACCTCACTCACAGCAAGAGCCTGTGAATCCACAGCTTCAACAGCACCATCATTGAGAACTTCTGCAACCTCACCGATGAGCTCGAATTTATCTGCCTTATCATTAACTGTAGTCGACATATGCCGATAAAAAGACAAGCCCGAGCTAGGAAGAAAAGATAGTTGGGAGCACATTCTATATTGGAACAAGACACCAAACCCTGAGGATGAATTACTAAACCCAGTTCCAAAAGACCTTCCTTGAAAACTAAACAGGAAGCCGAAGAAGCTGAAGCTGGAGCTGTAGCAGGTGACCAAGAGTCCGATGATGATGGTGATCTCATTATTTGCAGGGTTCGTTTCGTTCTTTGTGTTTTCTCCAAAGTTTTTTTTAACATTCTGTTTATTATTTTGTTTTGTTCTCTTGGCAGCTATCTGATAAGAGAAGGGTGACTATTCAAGATTTCAGAGGGAAAACCTTGGTTTCTATAAGGGAGTATTACAAAAAGGACGGCAAAGAACTTCCTAGCTCTAAAGGTAGAATTAAATGCTCCGCTTAGCTTCAATTGTTAGTTGTTTCAGGCAAATTTTAGATGTTCATTTTCCTGGATTGCTATTGTTTTGAGCTACCTGATCAACAAGTTTGGTTGCCCAGTCTTCTTGACTTGTGGTTGTGGCTGATTATGTCCTGGTCTTGTGATGTTGCAGCAAAATGTTCATTTGATTTCTGCATACCGAAGTACCCATGTATCATGCTTCTTAATATGTGCCCTTTTACAATTCTTTTTGTTATCTGTCACTGATCTGTAACTTGACTTGGATTGTACTATAGTGATTTGGATTGAATAACTCAGGTCATCTATTCTATGTGCCACTCATTTGCGGTGAATTCTTTATTAAACTCTTTATGATATTCTTTTCATTTACCCCTATAAGCTGCATTGTTATGATATATGGGTTTTGTTGCTTTGTGGTGTTTCCCGAGTAGCTCTGTTCTGCCTTTCTTTTTTCTTCTGTTTCTTGGGTCGCTTTTGAAGGAAAAGCACGATGGTTTCAAACAATATAGTTCTTTTGTCTAGGATGTTAAAATGTCAATGTGTATTTGAAATGTAATTATTTGGTTTGTGAGTCTTATGCCTGCTATTTCTAGCCACATTCTCCATCATAATGGTCGTCGAAACACTCACTCTACTCTGTGCGTATATGATTTCCGTGCATCATTGTTGGCTATTCTCGTCAAAGTGTGAATATAATCTATCTTCGTGGTCGAACTTCCAAATTTAACATTTTCTTATGCTTATTACTTTATGGTATTTCTTGTTTAGTGCTAACTTGTTTTCAATTCCTCTGCTGAATCATTAGGGATAAGTTTGACAGAAGAACAATGGTCGGCCTTAAAGAAGAATATATCGAACATTGAGAAAGCTGTAAGGAAGATGGAGTCATAGACCCAGTGAGAGCTTGATCTAGGGACCGGTAGTGTCGTCTTGTGTAATTGTGAACCTAAAGTTAGCCTCGGTGTTGATGTGGCATGGTGTCTATGTAAGTGTTGCTCTTTTTGGAAGGACTAATATCTGTTTCGATCCCGGGATTCTTTTGAATCTCATCTTGTAATGCCAGGGCAGATATAGCCCCTTAGAAACGACGTGGGATCGTTCAATCATTCCATTTTATTGATGTTTGTCGAACAATGCATGTGAAATACTTTTGCAATAAATTTTAATTATAACTAAAGTCAGCCATACTGCTTATTTATTAAACTGCATCTTATAAATTGAGCATTAAAATTTCATGACTTGGTCCAATTGGTTCAATTGCTAGTTTTGATGGATGTTGTTGGGATGAAGATGTAAGTTTATATAAATTAAATGTTTCAATCTTAAAAAAAATCTAAAATAATTATAGTTTTTAATAAAAATAATTTAATTATATTTCTATTAAAATTTAAATTAGATTATAATAAAGGATTAATTATAGATAGTTCATTATATTTTTTCATATTTTTAATAAGGATAATTTAATTAGTAGTATATATCGATGTGTCGTATTAGTGATGTGTTTTGGTGTGTGACGTGCGTTATAAAATTTTTCCGATTTCTCACATTCTTCTCTTTTTTCCCTTCCCCTAATGATAGGGAAAAAGACTCTATTTATAGTTTAGTCTCCGTACATCCAATGATCTATATTATTTACATTAAAGACTAAGATTTGTCCAAATCATATAAGATCTCTATATAAGAAAATAACATCTATTTTGTTTAATCAAATCAATTAGCATATTATAGGATATTCTCTGATAATATTTTTATTTTCTCAAATGTCTATTCGAATAAGTTTGGGCTAAGACAAAATTTAAGTATTACATGTTATAATGCTAAAACTTGTTTGAAACTCATGGGAATAACTGATATTCTAAGATTTTGATTTAACTTGTAAATTCAATTTATGTAAAACAATGAAAATGAAAAAAAAAATATAAATCGACTTGATTATTTAGAGTAGATGTGCTTTTTATTTGGATTTAGCATTTTTATTTCTTAAAAAAATATTTTTTTTAATTATTTTTTATAAAATTAGAGATAATAAAAGAAGATAAACTGTGGGCACGTGTCACGTATTTAGTATATAATTTTTTCTAACGAGTCATGTAAAAGTAAAATTAAAGTATTAAATATATATATATATTTAAAAAGGGTTATTTGAAGTAAATAAATAATTTAAATATTTATTTTATGTAACTTTAATTCTTATTTTTTTTCCGTACAAATCAACTTACTTCAGTGGTTAAAAGAATCGTTGTTAGTTTCTAGATATTACGAGTACGAACACAAGAATTGCAAGAATGATTAAGCATTGATTGTCAAATGGCTCAGAATAATTAAAATATATACTATTTTGTAATCATCTTTACCTTAATAAAAAAAAGTTCTTATTTTTTTTACTAATAATGGACTCTTTTTTTTTATTTAGTCCCTTAACTTTGCATTTTATTTAATTTGGACTTTTGGTTACACTTATTTACCCAAAAAAATCACATCAATTTCTTAACTCCTTTATACTCTTTATAATATTTTATCATCGGAATACTTTCTTTAAAGTATAATATTGTGAATATATTTTATAATTTTATATTATATTTGATATATTAAATAATATTATAATGTGAAAATAATATGAAATATATATATATTATATGGTTAGAGAAAATAAAAAAGTTGGTACTAATCCTTATCATAATATTATAAATGATTATAATAAAATTACTATATAAAATCGAATAACTCGATTCGACTCGAAAAAAATTTCAAGTTAAGTTTAAGGTGTAAAATACGACTCGTCAACTTAAATAACTCAAATTTTTTTTACTCAACTCGATCGAAGGCTCACATCTAATTTATTTATAATTAAACTGATAAATATAATTAAGTTGATAGTAGTTTTTAAAATGTTTATATTTTTGATCACAGAAACTAATTTATACTCGTATAAATATTCTTTTTCTGGTTCAAATTAATGAAGAAGCTTAACCATATATAATGTTAATAATATAGAGGAAAACAAAATTCAATCCCAAAAATCGTAAACCTCAAGTTTGAGTGAGGCACAGGACAGAAATGCACCACACGTCCCATAAAACAATGGGCAAAGGCATTATCAAAGACAAATCTGGAATTGACGTATTTGACATTGATAGGTCCACCTGGCTAAACCATACACCACTCGATCTTCTCAAGGCTATATCAATAATCCCATCAATTTTTAAAAGATAAAATACCCTTCAGTTTCATCCATCACCACACAAATTCCCCCACACCATTTCCCTCAATAAAACCACACATGCAAATATCCACTCTCACCAAAAATATCACCTAGCTTCAAAAAATGGGCTGCTCAGCATCCAAAGGCAGCACAGCCACCGTGGATTATTACCGGCCGCCACCATCGAGCTTTGCGGTGTTCGACGTAAACGCCATAGATGAACCCTGGGTCAAGGCGGGGCAACTCCAGCAGGAGAACCAAGAGAAGCCCACGCATGTTCCGGCTGTGATTCTCGAGAAGCTCAACGCTTTGGAAGCTGCTCCTCACTCCTGGGATGAAGTTAGCAAAGCCCTAGAAGATCTCAAGCCAGCCATTAACGACGATAACAAGAAGCCCCAAGCTCCCACATCGCCTCCAAAACCCGCAAAACAAGTCACTAATAACCAGCCTCGTAAGAGCTTGACTTTTCATACCATAGAAGAGTTAGACGCGAAACTGTCATCAAAAGAATCAAAACCAGCTGCAAACGAGTTAAGCAAAACTGAGTCGATGCCAAAAGAGGTAAAAACAACACCGGCTGAGTTAAAAGCCCCGGAGCCTCGAGTTTCAGCTCAACCAGTAGCGTCCAAGTTAAAGGATAACATATTCATAGTAAAAGACAGGGAAGAGAGGGAGAAAGAAGGGAGGATGGCGAATTACGATAAGATAATGACCAAACGAGACCCGTTAAGTGAGTTTCCGGAGATATGCCCTCCGGGCGGGAAAGACACGGTGGTGATTTACACGACGTCTTTGAGGGGTGTCCGGCACACGTTCGAGGACTGCAACAAGGTGCGGGGGATACTCGAGGTCCAACGCGTGGTGTTCGACGAGCGGGACGTGTCGTTGCATGGGGAGTTCTTGAGCGAGTTGCGGGAGTTATTAGGTGATGAAGCGAGCGTGCCGAGGGTGTTCGTTAAGGGGCGGTACCTTGGCGGAGCTGAGGCGGTGAGCGAGCTGAACGAGACTGGGAAACTCGGGAAGATACTGAGTATGGGACGCGTCGAGAGAGGGGTAGGGCGGCTGGCTTGCGGCGGCTGCGGCGGAGCGAGGTTCGTGCCGTGTGTAGAGTGTGGGGGGAGCTGTAAAGTGGCGGCGGTGAGCGGGGAGAAGTGGGAGCGGTGTGGGAAATGTAATGAGAATGGGTTAATCCATTGTCCAACTTGTCTTTAGTGCTTTTCAATTGCACGGTTAAGTTTTTGCAAGTTGTTGTTAATACATACAAATATTGTATGTAACTATTTCAATATACAATCAAGTTCATAATGAATTTCATCCTTTCACTTTTATGAAAACTCATGACTTGTTTTTAATTATTTATTTTAGTTTATCATAATCTGATTATTTTATAAAAACTGAGAAATTAATCTAATTATGAGTAAAATGTATACATTTAAGAAGTATGCATTTAAAGTTGATTGAATAATCTCAATAATAAAGAAAAATATTTTTTCACACGATTGAGATTGAGTTTGAACAGTTACATCGTGTTATGCATTATTAATACACTTTCCAACAAAAGAATGTTATGCATTATTAATACACTTATGAATAAAATTAAAAGGTTTACATACTATATTAATAATTCAATTTAATTTTTTTTTTGAATTTGGAAAATAAAAAATATAAAAGTAAAAGTAAAAGTAAAAGAACAAATTAAACCAAAACTTAATTCAATGGGTACTTTAACATACACTACTATCCACATCGGCCCATGCAAAGACCAGCCTTGGGCTTGCCCTATTGCCACGAAACAGATTGGTCGAATGATATGTGATTCATCAGCATCTATCCAAACGTCCACTGTTCTTAATAAAAAATAAAATTTATTCTTAATTGTTTGATACATAATATATTCTAAACTTATATATGATTTTTTTTGGGTACAAAAACTGCAGAAAACTAAATGAAGGGCTCCCAATTCGCTTGGATTTCAGTTAAGTGTAATCTAATCTTTGAATTCTACTGTTTCAAGACTAAATTTTCAGTTGCTTTGCAGCAGGACAGTCTCTTAGGATATATTTGATTCATTCATTCCCACGTAATACCTTTCTTCATCCCATTTTCATTTGTGTTCAAAGCAGCATAACCCAACCCCCATTCTTTCCCTGAAGAATAATTTTCCATTCCACATGTATTTCACTTCAAATATAATAGGGTAAAGTACATTAAAGATCCTTGAACTATATCAAACGATCATTTTAATCGTTAAATTTTTAAATGTTATAAAATAGTCGTTAAATTTTTATATAATTATTAAAATTTATCAAACTATTATAAAATGATCATTAAACTTATCAAATTAAATTTAGATGGTTATTCGGTGTTTATTGTCGAACTTTGAGTTATACATGAGATTCTGTAACTAATTTGAAACTTGAGAATTAAACATGTACTGGTTAGATCATATAACATGAAGGTTGTGAATATTTTTAAACAATCGGTTAATTCTAGGCAAGGGTCTCGATTATAAAAATAACCCATAATCTTTGTAACATGAGTGGTAAGTAGAATTTTAGCATATGTTACATTCAGAAAATGTAGTGATTGATATGTTAGTTCAGATGGATTCATATAAACCAATGATACTAGAAATTTTCTATAGATTTTCTCCCCAACTAATTGTATTAGTGTAGAATATAATTGCACAAACTTTATCGAATTAAACGTCATTGTTAAATAAAAGAAATTATCAATTTTTTTATTAT